GCTCTTCCTTTTTGCAGCCACCTTCTCTCCGGGATGAAGGCAGTCCTTGCCGGCTGTGGGACAGCGCGGGCATATGAGCATCCTCCCAAAATGTGAAGCTGTCTTCTCTTGTGAGAAAAAAAAAAAAACAGGTCAAGAGATTGCACTGCCGGTAGCACTGGAGGGGCTGGGGTTGGCTTGATGACAGAAGGACCGTGTCTGCCAAAGATGCCACCGACTCCGGAAAGTTGCTTTCTGACCCTCCGGAGCTCTGCCCGGGAAAAGCCGTACGGAAAGGTCCGTGTTTGGAGTCAGTGAGATCAGATAAATGAAGGAAAAGTGCCAAAAGAAGGGGTCATGCCAGATGATTGTATAATGTTGTTCTATATTGTCAGTATTTTTCTTCAAATGCTATTGTACATGCAGTGCACAGTAGTCATGAAGTGTAGCTTGAACAAGCGCTTCTTTGTATTTTCTCAATGAAAGCAAAGGGGGAGGTTGAAGCCTTAAAGACTATCAGTGATTTTAAAAACAAGCCTTTAGCAATGCTCCGAGGACAGACCCCAGGGCTCCACCTGGACCCTCCGACAGCCCTGTGCCATCTCCCAGTTGTCCGGCGAAAGGTTGACAAGGAGCTTGTCCTGCACACGGGGGGGGAAGCGTTTGACGAAAATCCAACCACTCTCGCCCGTTGGGGGACCGGAGACAAACACTTAACGACTGTTGGACGCGATGGTCTCGCGTGGCACCGTGACGGAGACCCGCGGCGCGTCCCCGCGGATGGCAGCTGGGTGGAACTGGGACATGCCGCCGGTTTGAACTACAGCGCGGAAGCTGGGATGATCCCCACGTGTCACACGCGTCGGACACAAACCTTTCTCTTCCCCGTGTCTGTAAAACACCGCGAAGCATCAGCTCGAGAATTAGCTCTTCACTATGCAAACAGAAAAACCTTCAGCTGGTTACAAAGGGGGTTTGTGTATGCCTGGTTTCCTTGGTGTTTACTGTCAAACTGTTTAAAACAAATCTAGATGTTGCTACACCTTTTTTCCCCGATAATGCTTTAAATCGTTGTGCTTTCGTGTTCTCCTCAGCTCGCCAGCGGAGCACCGGGGTGGTAAAAGACTTAACAGTCGTTTTGGGTCTCAGCTGAACCAACCGTGGCTTCATCCGAATGTTTTAAAAAAGCAATGGAAGTTACTGAAGGACTGTTGACTTGCATGTGTAAAATGTGTGGGTAAAATGACATGCAGGCGTCTGTCATGTTGTGGCTTCTGTTATTTGGAACAGAGTAAATCCTGCTTGTGAAAAAAATTGTCACAAACCAGAAATACGCCAACTGTGTACAAATAATGTGTACATTTTAACAGCAACGAGGACTTTTTAACTGGCAGGACAAAGGCCAAGGTTAAAACAGAATAAAACCAGGTTCTGACAGTGAGCTAACCTGTTTCTGATGAAGTTGCTGCGCTTGGAAACAAGCAGGATCCTACTGCTGCCTATCCCCGATGGGTTACAGTTGCCCCTGGCTGAACGAGGTTGTTGATTAATGTTTTGCAGAGGGGGAAAAAAAAAGTGAAGGTGAATATAGTGACATATTTTTCACGTAGGTAAGCAGCCAGTGGGAAGCAAGTATCCTCCATCACTCCCCATCGCTTGTCCCAACCCCTCCAGTTGCACTGACGCAGCTGTTTTTAGGGGTGCCAGCCCAGAGGATGGATTTGGGTTTTTAATAACTATTTTGTGCCCAGCTCAGCTCCCCAAGCACGCTCGGGTCCGGCCGGTCGGGCGCGTTACCTGTAGCGGGATGGGGCTCTGTGCTCAGAGCTGCCATGAGCAGCACTGGCAGCACCACCCTGGCGTGGGATGGATTTTCCCCAGCACAGAGAGACCGATGCTGGGACGGCGGGCGAGAGCTGAGAGAACCGGGGAACTCGTATTAGCTTGCCACTCTTAACTACACTACTAACAGTAGCAGTGTTGCTGCTTGCCCACGAGAATCCTCGTACAACGCATCAGCACAGGCAGAGCCCCATCGTGAGCCGTGCTCATCATGGGACGGGGCAGTCACGGCGCTCTCCGCCCTGTTCCTTTCTGGCCAAAACCTCTGCAATGCCCAGGGGGTGCAGCAGTTTCTCTTAAAAGTCCGTTTTTTGCACAGGAATGGGTGAGCACACGCCTTATTTTCCAGGAACTGCAGAGCACAACAGTGAGCAGACATGATTTTCATGTGCTGTCACGGCAGTGTTGTGGCTGTATCGGTGCTTTCAAGCTGGAAGTCGCTGCCTGAAAGCCTGAGATGAATCTTGTCACTGCACTCGATTTTCCAACCTCGGGAGGGGAAAAATGGCTCCAAACAAGTTATAAAATAACGTACATTTTATCCAAGAGGACCAAGGTGTGAGATGCTTTATTTAACCCCTGGCTACACTGCGGACTAAACTTTGGGCACCTTCTTGGCCGCTCTCTTTCCTGGCAGCTGTAGCTGTTTGGGGCTCCCTTGCTTGGATGTTGCCTCTGCGAGAAGGGCCTTTACCACCTGCACTTCCTGCGACAGCTTGGCCGTCTCCTCGCCGACAGTTGCAGGGGGGATCTCCAACACCACCTGGAATTCCTCCATCAGCCTCCGTGCATCCCGGTACATCTTGGGGTTGGATTTCTTCTTTCGCAAAACAGACGCTGGAAAAGGCCAGGGGTGTGAGCAGAGCGATGGGACAGCTCCTTGGCTGCAATAGTTCATCTTCCTTCTCACGCCTCCGCCCGCCAGCGGCTCCATCCCTCCCATCCCCGGAGCATGGGGCATGTCACCGTGCAGGGACACAAAGGTGGCTGCTGGGATCCAGCTCCTGTCCTGGCACCCACACGAAACACAGGAGCCCCAAAAGCAAAGGCACCGGTGGCCTTGAGTAACTCAAGAGTGAAGACAGATGTTCTGGGTTCAAGCCTGGGCAGTGGCTCTTACTGTAGGTGGCAGAAAGTGCCTTAATTTCTTGCCTCTCTTCCTCCGGTCTTCCCTGGTCAGTGCAGGGAAAAGAAAAAGCACCGGGGAATAGCCAGATCCTGCTTGCACTGGCAGTTCAGGATTGTACCACCATCGGGGCTGGGATGGAGATAAAACACGGCCAATGCTCGGAGACCCGAGTCCTGCTTCATCTCGGGGGGCAAAACCACTTTTACTCCAAGGCCGTTCTCCCACCAGCCAGGTTTGGGGTCAGGTTAACCCAGCTGTGGATCCAAGGGACCCCAGCAGTGTCTGCGTTGCTTTTACCCCTCTGTTTAGCAGTAGGCAGAGCACTGGCGTCCAACCTCGGGGGGGGCTGAGGGCATTCAGCAGGCGAAGCCCCTGTCCTCTCCGCAGGGGCACGACGC